CATTTAATATCTCCCGTGAATTGCACGAGCTACTTAACGGACAAACTCTGCGGAAATGACTCATTTAATACTTCTGTCTCGTGCATCGCACGAGCTACGTACTAGTCTAAGTAAAGTCCTAATATGCATAATTAATTAAACTAAGTACCTAATAATTAACCTTAGTCCTAAAATATGCCTAAGTCCTTAAATATGACTGTCCAACATTTCTCTAAGTTCGTAAATCTATGTAAGTACCTAATTAGCCTAAGTAAGATGGGCTAAACTCGGCCCAAGCTAAACTCTAAGACCGTACGAATAAGGACATTCCTTTCCCTCTTAAGCAATAGTTTACATAATTATTGGTATAAATTATTTAGTCAATATTGCTTATTATGTTTCCAAATTATTCCTTTACTTGTCTGATTTGTACACGCCCAATTTCGGTGGTTTTATTTATTTTTTATTTCTAAATTTTTTAAATGGACACCGCTTTTCATAATATATATGATGGTTTTTGTGTAAAACCGCATGTCTCTTCATATTCACTATTACACTACCAGTTGCGCGGCCTGGAGTTAAAATGATGTAGCTAAATTATAATTTAAATAAATTGAAAAATATTCATAAAACATGTATAGAGATAATAAAAAGTAGGATAAAAAATTTATTTTTTCTAAATATAACAACATTCATTATGACCATTATCATAAGTAATAATCAACAAACAATAGAGATTCGTGACTCTAAAAGGAACAATATATAACTTGTTGTGATTATAAAATACCACATTTTTTTTTCATAAAAATTTTAAAATTAAATAAATTTAACTTAAAAAAATCTTTTGTAATACTTGACGAAAAAAGGTATTTGTCACATTAATGACACTTCTTAAAACTTTTTCCCCTTAAAATGTCATGGTAATACCATAATTTTCACCATTTCTGAATAAATAGAGATATTATTACTATTATATAAATAAATTGATATAGAATAATTGAAATAAATACGTGCAAATATGAGCTAATTAAAAAAAAAATATTAATTAAATACATAAGAAAAAGTACAAAAATGACTCATATTTCGAACCGAATGCATTTATTTTTAAATTTGGCCCACTTATTTTTCAATTTTTCTTAAGTGGCAAAACAAATTTCAGTGATTCATTTATTTGCAAAATAAGTATGACGGTGATCAGAATGACGTGCAAAATGGATCACTTTTTTATGAAGTTACAAATAGGCATAAGAATCATTAACATGTCAATAACAATTACGTATTTCTGCACGTAATTCATGTGAAATGAAATTTATTATAATTTTCAGAAGTGCACATTGACAAAAATTTTCTAAAATAATAAGAATTATAGAGTAAAATTTATTTTGATAGGACGAACATTTATGATATATGATAAGAAAAAAGTACGTAGTTGATACATTATAGTAATTCGTATTGAACTTTATCTATTGCAATAATTCAGTAGCAATAATATATTCTCATCATGCTCTTAGAAAAACATGTGTTATAATAACAAAATTTTAACAATAATTAACACATTATGCCATTTCTGTTCATAAAAGTTTATAGTTGCATAACTGCTGATCAATATATAAATTAAAATGAGGAAAATTACTTTAGTCACAAACATTTAAATGATCTCAAATGTAAGCTTAAATGAAACGAATTATATCAACTGAAAATAAAATAAATTCAACAAACCATGTATTTTTTACTCAAACTATTCAATCAATTAGGACCAAAACTAATATAAAAGGCCTCATATATAACAAAAAATCCACTAAATAGTTGGATGATGAATATAAAAGGCCTCATTATAATTTTCTTTTCTTTCCTTTTTTTTTTTCCTTTCACAATATCATTCCTCAAAATTATTCTTTTTATTAAACTGAAATCTAACTCAACTTTAACTCAACCTCACTATCCTCAATGTTATTAATATAGTTAAATAATATCAATAAATTATACTTTCACATCACATCAACTTTAATTTACAATTCATCTATTCATATAATTTTTACTGCACATCACTTTCAATCACTTTCATACTTTTACATCAAATCAACTTTAGTTATTTTAAATATTATTTTAATACTAATTCAAAATTTTACTCAAACCTAACATAACCAACTTGTTTCAAAGTTAACACTCGTTAACTAAAAAAATTAATCAAAACTCAATATATCTATATCTAATTTTATTTTGTATACAAACTCTGACAATAAATGTCTATCTAAACGTAAAAAAGTAAAAGTATAAGTGTCTATATATATATTAAATTGTTTTTTTACTATGTACTTTCAGGATGTTCTTTTCTTTATGTTTTTAGGTCATATTAAGGTAACAATCAAGATGGTCACCGTCAATGTTTAGATCACTAGACAACACTTATTTTTCATTAAATTCATGAGAATCATAATTTAAGTTATTTTGTTAGAAATACACATTGATAGAGTTCTTGCAAAACAATCAAAATTAAATATTTAAATTATTATATATAGCTCTAAAAAGTAAAACTAACACATGGGATATATGATAAAAAAAAAAAAAAAAA